CTGCAACCAAACACAGCCCGCCCACAGCAACGCAGGCCGGGCCGGCTGCTGGCCACCACAGCAAAAAGGGACTGAAGTCACAGAAGGTTCCAGGCTGGAGAAGAAGACTGTTTGGGCTGGGTGGACCTGTTGCACCTAATCATCCCTTCTGCAGGTCAAAGCAAAATCAGTGCAAATGAGCGCAGGATTCAGCGCGGCGCTGACCCGAACCCCTTCTGCTGCTTCCTTTGAACGCTGGCACAAGGTTTTGCCCTGGGGGAAAAAACATCCCCATTTCTTTTCTAACTCTGAAGTCACTACTGGTCCATGTGACATCCAAACCCAATTATCGTCCCACATCATGCTGACAGCCAGCAAACTGCCTGCTGCTGGGTGAAACGGGGCTCCAGCAGCCCAGAGACACCGCCCCGGGGACAGAACCCCGGGAGAGCCGGGCTCTGCCCAGCACAGACCCTGCACAAAGACCCCCCCATCACACCCTGCAGCGTTGGGGAGCTGGGGTGAGGGGACCCCGATGCCGGAGCATCACATCGCCCTGCCCCGTCCCCGCGGGGAGGCACGGTAAGCAAACAGGCATCAGCCATAACCACACGGCCCTCAGAGCTCTTCACACTGTGTACTTTTCCCTTTCTTTCCTTTTCGGCCGTGAAGGTAATTAAACACTAGAACAATTTACCAAGGGTTTTAGTGGACTATCCATCACTGCCAATTTTTTTTTTTTTTTATAAATGAAGCCTACATGCTTTTAGAAAAGTTACGCATCATTTCAAATGAGAAATAAAGCTTTCGGAGAATTCTTGTGGCCTGTGTGACACTGGGGGGCAGAGCAAATGACCCCATGGTTTCTTCTGGTCCCCAGATTTTGTCCTCCTTACGCTTCTTCATGAGTCACAGCATTCAGCTCTAGAACACCTTATCTCTCTTTCAAACATTTCACCCCTCCCAGGTCAACCCAGGTGCAGAAGGCACCACCAGACCATGGACACAAGCGGGCAGGTAAGGCGCTTCCACTGCAGGGCACACCAAAGGGGAAGATGCCAACAGCATGACCAAGATGCCACCAAACCTCGGACCTCCGCAGCTCGGCACACAAACCCGTCCCATCTTGGCTATAATGAAGCAGTGCTCAATGAGCAGGTGGAGCAAACATTTGTATTAGGTTTTAGCCATGCTGTAATTTGAGCTAAAGGATTTCTAATTAATTTAACTAAAA